CTTTTTTTTTTTGAGACGGTTCCGCTCTTTTCCTCCCTATGTGATGGGTCGTTGTGTGATGGCTGCCCCCGGTTTCTGTTTCTCAGTTTGATCTCTTGACCTCATGATCCGCCCACCTCAGCCTCCGAAAGTGCTGGGATTACAGGTGTGAGCCACCGCGCCCAGCCATCATCCTCCTTTTGTATCTGTGATTCAGCAAGTCCCAAATTCTTCTCCCGTGTCCAAGAAAAATGAAGTTATGCAGACAACCGGAGGGTGAGCAGGACAGAGTTTTGTTGAGCAACAGAACAGTTCTCAGTGGAGAGGGGAACTGAAGTGGGCAGCCCCCTACTCAAAGTTGGGTAGGCCCCCACTGAAGTCCCCCACCGTGCACAGCTTATAATTTTATGTTTGACTTGGCATTTTTTTTTTCTGAGAAGGAGTCTTGCTCTGTCACCCAGGCCACCATGCGGTGGTGCGATCTTGGCTCACTGCAACCTCCGCCTCCCAGGTTCAAGCGATTCTCCTGCCTCAGACTCCTGAGTAGCTGGGATTACAGGTGCCCACCACACCTGGCTAATTTTTGTATTTTTAATAGAGACAGGGTTTCACCATGTTAGTCAAGCTGGTCTTGAACTCCTGGCTTCATGATCCGCCTGCCTCGGCCTCCCGAAGTCCTGGGATTACAGGTGGCATTCATTTTTAATGTCCCTCTAGCACACTGAGACTCTCCCTCTGTATTTTGAGATGTCGATTTTGCTGATTTTTCACCTAAGAGTTCTTCCTGTGGTATGTGAATTTAGGGCTATCAAGCTGAAAATTGCCTAGGACAGTGAAACAGGTTATCAAGAAATTGGAAGTTTAGGCCAGGTACAGTGGCTCAGGCCTGTAATCCCAGCACTTTGGGAGGCTGAGGCGGGTGGATCACAAGGTCAGGAGTTCCAGACCAGCCTGGCCAACATGGTGAAACCCTGTCACTATTAAAAATACAAAAATTAGCAGCCAGGCGCGGTGGCTCATGCCTGTAATCTCAGCACATTGGGAGGCCGAGGTGGGTGGATCACTTGAGGTCTGGAGCTCGAGACCAGCCTGGCCAAGATGGTGAAACCCTGTCTCCACTAAAAATACAAAAATTAGCTGGGTGTGCTGGCGTGCACCTGTAATCCCAGCTGCCCAGGAGGCTGAGGCAGGAGAATCTTTTGAACCCAAGAAGTGGAGGTTGCAGTGAGCTGAGATTATGCCACTGCA